TGGAGGTTGCTGTGAGCTGTAATGCCACGGCACTCTACCCAGGGGGACAGCTTGAGGCTCTGTCTCAAAAAAAAAAGAAAAACTAGCCACTTATTGTGGTGGGCACCTGTAGTCCCAGCTACTCAGGAGGCTGAAGCAAGAAGATCAATGGATCCCAAGAGTTTAAGGTTGCTATGAGCTATGACGCACTCTACCCAGGACAACAGAGTAAGACTGGTGAGACTGTGTCTCAAAAAAGAAAGAAAAGAAAAAGAAATAATTTCAAACTTACAAAAAATTACTAGAAGAAAAACAGTGCATAGAACATTGTACAGGCTATTTGCTGCATACCGTATCGTTGACATGTTGTCCATTCACTTTATCCTTTGCCCTCTCCATGCAGGTGTATGTGTAGTAATATATACAACTTTTTCTGGACCATTTGAGTATGATCGTATATATCCTGACCCTAAACACTTCAGTCTGTATTTCTTGAGCAAAGGACATGATTTTACATAACCACAACCTCAGTGTGACATCTAGATAAGACTTTAATCTAATTGACTCTCCAAACTCCACTTTTCTCAGCTTGCCCAACAGTGCTTCTGTGACTCCTTTTTTTCAGTATAAGATCCAGCCTAGCATTAAGTCATCTTAATGCCTTTAGTCACTATGTCTCTTTCGTCTGATCTGGAACATTTGCTCAATTTCTCTTTGAGTTTTGTGACATTGACATTTTTGACATAAAGTCCTCTTTTGTTTGGTTTTTTATCTTTTGTTTTTTTGCCCAGGCTAGAGTGCCCTGGAGTCATCGTGGCTCACTGTAACCTCAAACTCCTGGGCTTAAGTGATCTTCCTGCTCAGTCTCCTGAATAGCAGGGACTGCAGGTGTGTGCCCCCATGCCTGCCTCACTTTTTATTGTCTTTTGTAGAGATAGCATCTTGCTACATTGCCCGGACTGGTCTCAAACTCCTGGCCTCAAGCAATCCTCCCACCTTGGCCTGCCAAAGTGCTGGGATTAGAGGTGT